GAGAGAGAGAGAGAGAGAGAGAGAGAGAGAGAGAGAGAGAGAGAATCTTTTTAACATTTATTTTCTAGTTCTCGGCAGACACAACATCTTTGTTGGTGTGTGGTGCTGAGGATCGAACCCGGGCCGCACGCATTCCAGGCGAGCGCGCTACTGCTTGAGCCACATCCCCAGCCCACAGAGTTACCTCTTTGGTTTTTGAAATTAGGCTAAGTTCACGTAACATCAAATTTACCATTTCAGAGTGTAAAATCCATGGCATTTAACCCATTCACAGTGCTGTATGATCACCATGGACCTGATTATTTTTACTCACAGAATTCTAAGGCCTTGGCTGGCTGTGGCTCGGTGGTAGAGCACTTGCCTGGGTTCCATCTCCTGGTCACAAAGGAAAAGAAGGAACTCTTGTGGCTTTTCAGCTACACAGGATTGAACACTTGTCATATGTTAACAGAAGTTTTATCTGGAGAGAAAGGAATGGAATTAAATGCAGTTGCTAAACTGGGGGGAAAATGCATTTTACCTCTCTTAAAAGTGTGGCAAATGTGAATTATTAAATCTTTGGAATTTTAATGACCATTTAATCTTTGAGAGGTGTTCACAGATGATAAACAACAAATAGCAGCTGAAATTTAGGATTGGAAATGAATAACTATAGAATTCTTCCATCAGTGCTGGGAGGTATTTATTTGAAAATAAGAGAAAATAATATGTAGGTCACATGAGTAGTATAATGCTTGACTGAAAAATATTATGCTGAGTCATATTTTGTTGATTTGCAGAGGAGGATAGCTCTAGTGGGGAGAGTGAAGATACTTTAGAGTTCCTGAGAAAAATGTTCAGAGGCTTTCCTAGATGATAGTTGTGAGATTTTGTTTTGGATTCTGGAACTTCTACTGGCCATTCCCTCTAAATTACAGACTGATATTCCTCACCCTGTGCCCGAGAGGTTCTTGTCTGTTTTTCCCGGCTTGTGAAACTACATTACTTCTACCCTGATTGTTCAAGTTGCACAAACTACAATGATCTCTTGTAGAGCTGTTGATACCTCAGGACATTCAGCAGACACTTAAAATCTAGGGCACCTTTTTTATTCTTGTGCTTTTCAAATAGAGAGGTGCTCACACAGATGGGAGGAAGTTGGTAGTTTTTTTCAGGTTTTTCCAATGGCTTTCTCAGTACTCCCTTACAGCTTGTTGGTGTTCAGAGAGCTGCTGCTCATGCTTTCTACTTGATGGTATTGGTCTTGAATCCCAATCACTCCCTAGACAAGTGCATCAGTGGGTACATAATGCAATTTGAAGATGAGTTGTGCTGGCAAATCCTTCAGTGGCTGCACACTTGTGGGTTTCTGTTGAATCACTGGCCGTCCCGCCAGAGTACTAAGGTTCATCAGAACGCTGTCATTCTGGAGAATTCAGCTGCATCGCTTCATAGTTAGCCTTATCAACAGAGAAATCAACACTCTTGCTCGGTTCTAGACTCCTTTGTATGAAGAGGGATTCTCCTTGGGGAAGGAGAGGCGGTGATGCCTGGGCACTTAGACCCAGCACCTTCTTAGACATTTACCATTCTTCGTTTTTGTAATGTTGTATTTGTGTTTTTCTTACAGATCTTTATCCCCATTTTACAAGGCCTGGCTCTTGCTGCCAAAGAATGCTCCCTGGATAGTGACTACTTTAAGTACCCCCTCATGGTAAAACTGAGTTCTTTTTCTTTAATATATTCAGTAGGTGTTTTTCTGTCAAATAATTTTAACATACATTTTCCTTTCAAGTCTAAGATCTACTTGGTTTCAAATTTAAAACATGCAGTCCTTGTGTTGGCCATGCAGAGCGCTTGCTGTGCAGTGGAAACCTCGGCAAGGACAGGCCACAGCCAGTCCACACTCCCAGCCCCTACCCTGGATGGCACTGGCCATGCCCTGATTAAAATGGACTTTACCACGTAGTGTAGCCAATAAAAAAGATGACCATGATCATTGGTGGTACCCTTCTGATTCCCCATACAGTGAGCATACCGTGTCTGAGATGAAATTTGATTATAAAAATATTAGTAATATTTACAAATTTAAAAAGCAGAGTGACACCAAGAAAAGTAGTATAATTTTTCTTTATGTGTTGACTTTGCACAGAAAAATCTCAGAGTGACTGTCTTATTCCTAAGACCACATGCTTTGTCTGGAGGCTTTCCTTGAGAACACTGGTCTGAGTAGCCCCTGCAGCACTCAGAGCAGGCTCAAGTTCTGAACAGAACCTGGATTCCTAGGGAACATCTGGACTGCTTTGAAAACATTGGAACTGGGACAAAAATCAGAAGATCTTTTCTATTCTCAATTTGCTTCTTTGACATTTTGCCAGAAAAATGTCTTCAAGTGTTCCCGAGTATTTTTCTTTCTTTCTTTTTTTGTTTTTTTTTTTTTTGAATTTTTTAATATTTATTTTTTAGTTTTTGGCAGACACAACATCTTTGTTTGTATGTGGTGCTGAGGATCGAACCCAGGCCGCACACATGCCAGGCGAGCACGCTACCACTTGAGCCACATCCCCAGACCCCCGAGTATTTTTCATTCTAGAAGCATCAAGGAAAAAAGATCAAAACATGAAATTACTATATATATTACATAGTATATACTTACAGACTGTGTAAATTGAGGCTATGGTTAAATGGATTTTTTTTTTAAGACCTTATTTGTTCCTTTTACTTATTCTGCTATTTAGGTTTTGTTACCCATGAATTCATTGTTTACTGAGGATCTGTCCTGTGCTTGGCACTGGGACAGGGAGCTCATGAGACAGGTCCCCCCTTAACATGTTCATAATCCATTGCACAAGTCAAGCCACAACAAAACAGTTTGATAATTACATTGGTAAAAGTGGAAACTGAGGGGTTCACAGAGGATGCATTTCTGTGTTTAAAAAATTAAGCTTAGGGGGCTGGGGTTGTGACTCAGTGGTAGAGCACTTGTCTAGCTCTAGCATGTGTGAGGCACTGGGTTCGGTTCTCAGCACCACATATAAATAAGTAAATAAAATAAAAGTCCATGAACAACTAATAAAAATTTTTTAAAAATAAGCTTAGGGCTGGGGTTGTGGCTCAGTGGCAGAGTGCTCACCTAATGTGTGAGGCACTGGGTTCTATTCTCAGCACCACATATCAATAAATAAAATGGAGGTCCATTGACAACTAAAAAAATATATATAAAAAAAAATTAAGCTGAGCCTGAATACACACACCTATAATCCAGGCAACACAGAAGGCTGAAGCAGGAACGTCCCAGCTTTGAGGGCAGCCTGGGCAATAAATGAAACCCTGTCCCAGAAAATGAATGAATGAATGAATGAGCTGGAACTGGAGCTCAGTGGTAGAGCACCACTGGTTTCAGTCCCCCGTACAGCAAAAATATAAATAAAGCTGCTATCAAAAACCAGGCTAAAAGTTAAACGTAATGTTTAGAAATCAGAATGTGAAACAGATTTCTTACTTTTAAAGTAATTTTGAATGCATTTATGCCAGAGCTCTCTCCATTGCACGTACTATTCAAGTTCCTAATTAAAATGCGTTAATCCTTATTCGTTGAATTTCTATCTGTGGCACACAGAACAGGAAATGGAGTGATCTCATTGTTGGAGTTCACTCATGCAGTGTTTTAGTTAACACTAATTAGCACTGTATCATAGATATTCCTTCTGGAATTGTTGGCGTTTGGGTTGTGGTTTGAATTAGCTTAATCTTTCACTGAGAAGCTTTCAGTGTCAGATCAACAAAGTGTCCTTGGTCAAAAAACAGAAGTCTCCATTGTGGTGGACACTAAGTTTATTTGGGGCCTTTATTGATACTTGTATAATAATGAGGGTGCAGCAAGGAGGAATGCAGTGATGACAGGCAGGAGGAGAGAAGGCTCAAATCAGAAGGAGCAGGGATTCTCTGGTCAGTGGGCCCTACTCTGTCCTCTGTTGGAATCCCCGGGGATCTTTAAAAGTGCTGATGCCTGGTTCCCTGCCACAGGCCTTGTGAACTAAATTGTGGGGGAGTGGCATGGCGTTGAGGTTTGCTGAGGCTCCCCTGTGATGCTGACATGCAGCAGAGGCAGTGGGAACTCTGGCCCCAGAGGCTTCGCAGAGTCACAAGAGTGCTTAAAAGTATCAACTTAAAAGTATCAAAACTTCCTTTTGTGGCTCGGCATCTTCTATAGCTATGTCTAAATCACAGAGAAAGTTAAGTGCACATTCAGTGTTGTGTGATTGAATTACTATGGCCATGGTAAACGGCATGTGTAGAAACCGTTCTCCCACTTCTCCAGCGTGAGAATGCTTGGTGTGCTAGAGCGACATGTTGGAGTTCTCGTCAGTACTACATATCTTGAAACCAAGTCAGGCTTTTCAGTTTGTTCTGAATTTAATAGCATATTGAATTATAAGACTAGCCATTGTTAACACTGGCAAGCCTGACCCCCTAAAACTGAGGAAACAGATCTTTTTCATGTGGAAAGGTGTAAAGTAAATACATATTTTTTGAACAAATTTACCCCTTTATTTCTTTGTAGAGATGTGCACAAATAATTCTGACAAGCTGTTGATCAGAGTATCTGCAGGGTTATATCTGAGGGTAAAGCTTATGGTTCATAATTTTGCTTTACATTTCTGTGTCATTTGAAGTTTTTTTAATGATGCACATGTATTAATTTATTACGTAGAAAAAGTTATAAACATCTTGGCATCCTAGAGAAAATGCACATGAGTTTATAACAGTAGTTGAAGCTGTCCCTTGCTGTTACCTGTGTCTATAATCTGAGATGTGATACTTTAATTGATTGATTCTATCTTATTTCTAGGCATTAGGTGAGCTCTGTGAAACTAAGTTTGGGAAGACACACCCTGTATGCAATTTGGTAAGTGCCTGCCTGATGTGCTTGCACGTTTACAATAAATTTATCACAAGGCAGAAGCTGTTCCAGAATAAAATCAGCTCAAAGACATTTCTTGAAGGACGTTTGGTGGAAGTAGCCCATCTAGAGGGCTCTCAACTGCTAAACTTCCATTATATGTGGTTTATTTCCTGAAGTGAAGTTCTGAATTTGGGGGTGGGGTGCACAGGAAGATAAGTATTATACATCTAGAATAGCAAGTCTTATAGGAAAATGTGCTTGAGTCCTTTGGGTAGTATAAGAATGGTACATTTGAACTCCACAGAGAATATCTTGGAACATAGAAGTTCAAAGAGTATCTTGTGAAAATGTAGAGCAGTTGAAGGGTTTTCTTATCTGAGGTGAGGAAACATCACCAGGGATCCTAACATGTTTGTGCCTTGTATTTTAGGTTGGTTGGTCTCAGTCTGGTGCTGGTGGCCATTGCTATCTGAGTAGACTACCCACTGAGAACTCTACTTGTGACATCCTTTCTCGTTAGCCTGATTGTAATGTGACTGGCCTCTTCCATGTTCTGCCTAGGTTGCCTCTTTGCCCTTGTGGTTGCCGAAATCCTTAAGCCCTGGCTCTGGGCGGGAGCTGCAGAGACTCTCTTACTTGGGGGCCTTCTTTAGCTTCTCTGTCTTTGCAGAAGACGATGTAAGTATGGTGACCATTTGCATTTGCTGCTCTCGTTCAGATTTCTTCCCAGATGTACGTTATATGCTGACTATTTTTTCTTCTCTTTTCAGGTTAAAGTGGTTGAAAAATATTTCTCAGGGCCTGCCATTACCCTGGAAAACACTCGTGTCGTTAGTCAATCACTACAGCATTACTTGGAGCTGGGAAGGGTAGGTGTTCAGAAAATGAATCCAAAGGATGAATGAAAGATGAGCTGTATACCTTGGGAGCTCCTTCTGTAGATGGTCTGCTGCCTGATTCATGAATGTTAATGATAGTTAAAAAAGAAGATGTGGTGCACATCAGTAACTCATGTCTTTTTGAAAATGTTTTATTCTCGTCTTTTGCGGTGCTGGGACCTGTTTACTAGGCAAATACTGAACCACTCAGCTACGTTACCAGCCCCCACTTACCTTATATAATAACTGCAACTATTCTTCACTGCCTCTCTTACTTAGAGAACCAGGAACTAGTCGTAAATTTGGTGGCCATAATCTCTCTCCCGCTTGCCTATTGAGTCATGAGGTCGAGTGAGAGTGGTTAGTTTGTGCACTTACTTGCTGAAGCCCACTTATCCCAAATGTACATTAACGTGTCTTCAGGTCCAAATGTAAAAGCAAAGAAACTACAGGATTGGGTAATTAAGATACTTTTGATTGTGGAAAGGAAGGTAACAAAGACTATTTTATTAACACTCTGTTTACCTCTTCCACTCTTGATGATGCTTTTCTGCTGATGACCTCAACCCGGTCACGTGCACACAGTTCTTCATTTCTTCTGTCATCAGGCTCTACTGACATGAGTAGTGGTTGGAGAGTAGGGAGTGGGAAGTGGGCCAGCTCTTCTTGTAGTCAAAAAGGAGTAGTGTTCAAAATGAAGTTAATTTTCTTTTTCTTCTTTTTAAAAATCCTTCCAGCAAGAGCTTTTCAAGATTCTGCATAGTATTTTGTTAAATGGCGAAACCCGAGAGGCTGCTCTTGGTTACATGGCAGCTGTCGTCAATGCCAATATGAAGAAAGCACAGATGCAGGTATGGGTCCTGGAGACTGCTTTCAGTTGTTCCTTAGATCTGTTCATCTAACCCAGATTTGCCCAGCACCTCCAAGCATTGTTCTAGGAACTGGGAATGCAGTGTTCACGGAGACAGAAAGGCTTCCTGCTCTTGTGGAGCGTGGGTTCTTTGGATCAGTGAGTAGACCATAAACGAACTATGATAAGACCTATGAAGAAAATAAAGCAAAGGGCTTGAGAACAACCATAGAATGCCAGAACGAAGGTGTGGAGTGATTTTTGATTAGGGTGTGAAGGCCTCTGGGGAGGTACCCTTTGATCAGAGCCCTGACTGATAAGAAAGCCAGCCATTGCAAGGCTGTAGAAATGGACCAACTTTGGTGCCCAACACACAGACCTCTGTGGCTGGGAAGAGTGAACAGGAAAGAAAAGGGTAGTCATGGGTTAGGGATGTGCAGGGCTTCCCCAGGCTTATCTGATGAGAATTGTGCTGGGAACCTCCTGCAAGGCTTTCAGCCAGGAAACCTCAAAATCTGCTGGACCAAAGAGCCCAGCTACACAGTCACGAGGTACAGCAGCCTCAGGAAGAGAGGCCGTGAGTAGAGCTGCTTGACCTGAGTAGAAGAGTTTAAAAGGCCTCCTTCTGACGTTGTTAATAACTATTGTTGATATGACCACTTGTGCTCAAAAGAAAAAAAAAAAAGATGCAAATGAGCACAGACCTGGTGATTTGGGGTTGTGGTTTTACCATTTACTAAAGGTGAGACCCTGGTTCCCTGTGCCTCAGTTTTCTCATTTACCAACTGGTATGATGATAGTGCCTAACCTGTAGGTTTGGTGTGTGTAGTCTGTTAGAATAGAGCCTAGTACATAGCACTGCTCAGCTGGTGTTAGCCGTCACTGGTACAGTGGTTGACATTGTTTAACGCAGAACTATACCACAACGTCAGTTGGAAAAGCTATGACACATGCTCAGGAGTAGAGATCATTGTTCTGATGTTTTTGAGGGAAAATAAAGAAGAAAAAGGAAGCAATGTCTACTGTTTGTCCTTATTCATTCTGAGGCTGTTGGGCAAAAGTTCTTAAATTTTACAAACCTTCGTTTCTTCCTGAGCAGAATGTGAATATTGACCCTCACGTGTGTATTGCTGGCCTCTTAGGATTATTGGGAAGATTTAGTGATAGAATGTGTAAAACTTCACAGTTGATGACTCTCACCTGTTACACCTGCTGATAAGTGACAGTGGTGGCAACATATGTCCTGTCATTGACTTGAGATTTTGTCGTGTTTGAATGTTCAGTCTGCTTTCATAAAAATTTGTGCCAGAATTTCTACTCAGATCATGATTTAAATTGTTTTCATACTTCACAGACAGATGATAGGTTGGTGTCTACGGATGGATTTATGCTGAATTTCCTTTGGGTGCTGCAACAGCTGAGTACAAAAATCAAGTTGGAAACAGTTGACCCCACGTACATATTCCATCCAAGATGTCGCGTCACTCTCCCAAATGATGAGACTCGAGTGAATGCAACAATGGAGGATGTGAACGACTGGCTGGCTGAACTCTGTGAGTACCGTGTCCACCATGAGACCACGCGGGGCTGCCTTCCCTCTAGAGGCTGAGTGCTCACACACCCATCCCCTTTCCATAGATGAGATGCTGCGGGTGCACAGTAGAAATTCGGACTGTAAAACCTGTTTATATGGATTAGCCAAAGCAAATAGATGTGTAGAACAAATGGACACATTGAAGAAGAAATAAAATATTAAAATTGAAAGCAGTTTATTATATGGAATTTATACTGTACAAATTAAAACATTAATGAAATATTCCACAGACATTGAATGACTTGAAATTATGAATATTTTGCAGATGTGATGATTGTTAATTTTTTATCTTGGTGATGTAAACTTTATTTAATGACAGGGTGAACAATAAGCTCAGCATCTGACTCTTATTTGAGTGAAAGGCTGTTGGTATTCATCTCGGAATCTATCTGTAGACCAATAAATTCCAAGAGCCAAAGGGGTATTAATCCAATAAAACTTTAGAAAACCAAATGTAGGAATTGGCCCAACTGTGAAGAAGAAATTTAGAATTTAGGAAATGAACCTATTATCAGAGGTAATACATATAATTATGTATTACCTTATTACATATGTATGTTTATACCTTAATGTATAAACATACATTTGTAATATATACATCTTGGGAAATAAAATATATTTGTTGGAAGAAAGAGACTTGTAGGAATGGTACAAATTGAAAGAAATTCAAGTTAGCATTATTTATCTATAAATTAGCCAAAACCAAAATAATCTATAAGAGCTCTAAAAGAATGTAAGTTTATAAAGAAAGAATATTTAATAAAAATAATCTGCCTAACATGAATTTGTTCGGGGAATTTATAATAAAATTTATAATGCCAATGAGGGAAATGAAGAGAAAATGATTAATGGGTACAAAGGTGTGGTTGGTTGTTTTGTTTGTGGTGCTGGGGATTAAACTCATTACCTCTGGCATGCTAGGCAGGGGCTCTACCACTGAGCTACACCCCTAACCTGGTTTTGTTTTGTTTGTTTTTAAATCCGGGCCTACTAGTTGCCCAGGCTAGCCTCAAACTCCTAGACTCAAGTGATCAGCCTGCCCTAGTCTCCCAAATAGTAGGTGTTGTGTGAACCACTGCACCCAGTTTGGGTACAGTTGAATAGGAGGAACAACTTCTAATGTTCTTTACCACAGTAGAGTAGTTGTGATTGACATCAGTTACTTGTTTAATCAAAACAGCTCGGGGAGAGGCTTTTGAATGCTCCCAATACAAAGAAGTTATAAATATTTGAGGTGATGGGTATATCAGCTACCCTGATTTGATCATTACACGTTGTATACATATACTAAAATGTCACATCTTGCCTCATAAATATGTGCTATTATTATTTGGTCAATTAAAAAACAAATATATATAGAACTGGGTCTATAGCTCAGTGGCAGAACACTTGCCTAGCATGTGTGTGGCACTGGTTCAATCCTTAGCACCATGTAAAAATAAACAAAGGCATGCTCTCTATCTATCTATCTATCTATCTGTGAATGAGTATACAATAATATGATTTTCAGTAACCTAGTTTTCAGAGTGTATTCCCAATGCCAGGGGGTGAGGGAGTAACTTTTGCACATAGTTCCTCACAGCAGTATGTTGTTTAAGACTTTTGTGTGTGTGTGGTGCTGGGGATTGAACCCATGGCCTTGTGCATGTGAGGCAAGCACTCTACTAACTGAGCTATTTCCCAGCTATATAACCACAATATGTTGTTTATAATAGAGAAAAGTTAGGAAAAACAGAACAGACATGGGGGACATGGCTATGCAATCAGTAGCTTATTAATATGATCTAATGCTGTTTTGAGATTTAAATTATACACATATATGTGTATTAGAAAGTGGAAATGTTTTTATAAGTATATCAGGAAGACACATGATAAAAGATTTGGGCTGGGGTTGTGGCTCAGTGGTAGATCATTTGCTCATATGTGTGGGGCAATGGGTTCAGTTCTCAGCATCACATATAAATAAATGAATAAAATAAAGGTCCATCAACAACTAAAAAATATGTTAAAAAAAAAGAAAAATTATTGCCAGGGCTGGGATTGTGACTCAGTGGTAGAGTGCTTGTCTTGCACTCATGAAGCACTAGGTTCGCTCCTCAGCACCTCATAAATAAATGAAGTAAAGGTATTGTGGCCATCTACAACTAAAATAAAAAGATTATTGCCAGGCACAGTGGTGCAGGCCTGTAATCCCAGAGACTCAGGAGGATGAGGCAGGAGGATCACAAGTTTGAGGCTGGCCTCAGTGACTTAGCAAGACTCTCAGCAACATAGTAAGACTCTGTCTCAAAATAAAAAGGGTTGGAGTATGGCTCATATAAAGTATCCCTGGGTTCAGTCCCCAGTACTGCTGTACCTGAAAAAAAAAAAAATTGTGAATGGACATCTATTTAGACATTTAATCAGATGGGACACCTGGTCTTTAAATGGAGCTCACAGGAATTCAGTTCTTCTTGTGACTTTGCTTAAATTTATAATTTTAAAAAAGTATTCTTAAAATTCAAGTGAAATGTTCCCTCTGAATCAAGCTTTCCCCCTGGTTTAGACTTGTATAAATTTACTTAGTGAATTGTGTTATTCTTCCTAGATGGAGATCAGCCTCCATTCTCTGAGCCGAAATTCCCCACGGAATGCTTCTTCCTCACCCTGCACGCGCACCACCTCTCTATTCTGCCTAGTTGCCGTCGCTATATTCGCAGACTTCGGGCCATCCGGGAGCTAAATAGGTATGTGCCCGACCCGTGTGTGTCCTGGGGTTGCCTACTGTGACAGTAGACTTGAATGTGGGGTGTTTGTGACACTGTGCTGTTGGCCTCCATGCCACATCCGTGCTCCTCCATTGTCTAGAGCTCTCCACCAGTGAACTGACCCCCGATTCCCCATGTTCTGAGCCCTTGCTCTTCCTCTGTGGATACCGCAGCTTTCATTATTATTCCCTGGACAGAGTGTTACTCGGAGGTACTTTTAAGGATTCCCTGGCTTCTGGACATACCCCTCTCTCCCTGGACCACAAAGTAGTCACCACGTTTCCTCTGATACTCAAGATGATTTATCACTACCAGCTGTAATTCCCCTTTCGCCCAGTGTTCCGCAACATAGAGTCCCGATGCCAGATAGCAGCGTGGGTTCCAGGTCATTAGCACCGTTGCTGTGTTTCCTCACCCAAGCGCTGCTTCCCAAGTGGCAGCCACAGCAATGTGGAAACAAACGTTTTCTGAACAGATATTTGCAATAATAATAGAAAATCCCCTTGAGCTTTTGGATTTAGTCTGGCTATGAGAGAGACTGTGGCAAACCTCTATGTATCTACCCTATTCAAATCGCTCATTAATCCTAATGTTTACTTTTAGATGGTTTCAGATTTTTCTTTCCACATATCACATAGGTGATTTTCTTTTTTCCTTTCTTGTGCTTTTATACCTTAACATGCTGGCTATAATCTTTAATACAATGTTGAGTAGAAATGTAGTAGTTCTCCCTTCTCCCCAAGGGATATTTCTAAGATCCCCAGTGGGTGTCCTAAACTATGGGTGCTCCCTAACCTGTCTGCTGTGTGTCTTCCTATATGTGCGTACCTGAGGTGAAGTTCAGTTTGTAAATACAGGTATAAGAGAGAGTAACAACAATAAGCAATAGTAAAATAGAATACAGTGACATTCTGTAGTAAAATTTACATGAATGTAATCTGCAGATGAGAGACGCTTGTAACCTTGAAATTTGTCATGTCCAGTTAATGGGGAGGGGAGGCTTTTTTATGTCCTCTGTTGGATTTTTAATTATAGATTTTACTCAATTAACAGGTGTAAGACTATTTATATTTTCTTTTTTCTTTTTATTTTTGTTTGTTTTTTGAGAGAGAGAGAATTTTTTAATGTTTATTTTTTAGTTTTCAGTGGGCACAACATCTTTATTTTATTTTTCTATGGTGCTGAGGATCCAACCCAGCGCCTCACGCATGCCAGGCGAGCGCACTACCACTTGAGCCACATCCCCAGCTCACTATTTATATTTTCATATCATTTTTTGTCAGTTTCTTAAAGTTTAAAAATTTCAGGCACAAAGTTGTTCATGGTATTCTCTTTATTTGTCTTTTCATATTATTCAGTTATTTTTTGGTACTGGGATTGTACCCAGGCCCTCATGCATTCGGGGCAAGCGTTCCACCACTGAGCTACATCCCCAGCTCTTTCAAAATTTTTTGAGGCTTACTTTATAGCCTAAATCTACATTTGCAAATGTTCCTTATTGACCTAAAAAGAATGTGCTTTTTGTGCTTACTGCAGTATCTATACATCATTCAGGTAAAGTATTTGATCCTTTTTTCAGTTTTTCCTAATCTCTGCTAATTTTATCAGCTTATAGTATCAGTTCTTGAGAGGCTTATGTAGATTCAAACAGTGATTGTGGATTTGTCACAAGCTTAGGACTTCAGGTAACCACAGAAGTGGAAAAGGCCAGGAAATATGCCCCCTAAACCACCAGAAAGAACTCTCTGCCGACTTGTTATAGACTTTGGACCTCTAAAATTTTAAGACAAGAAATGTGTTTTGTCTTGGGATGGTTTGTTGCAGCATCAAATAGAAAGCTAATACCACATGTTAGCAAATATTGCCATATTTTTTCCTATCAAATATCTGCTTATTGTTGGGGCTAGGGTTGTTGCTCAATGGTAGTGCACTTGCCTGGCATGCGTGAGGCACTGGGTCTGAATCTAAGCACCACATACAAATAAATCAAATAAAGGCCCATCAACAATTTTTTATATATATATATATATATATATAATCTGTTTATTCTTATTTTGTAATTCATTCTCAAGGCGGTGCTTGTTTGGACTCTGTTTTGGGTCTGAGACGGTGAAGGGTGAAGGGCAAGTCAGTCAGGAGCGATCATTACAGGAGCTGCCTCCACAGCAGACTTAAGATATTTGGGTACTTGAAGTTACCACATTCGCCCAGACTCCTCCATTTGAACTCTTGGGGTCCCAGTCTTTGCCCTCACTTAGAGTTAGGAGCCCCAGGGAGGTTGTGAATTTAGCTTGTATTATGATTGGGAAACTTGTAGGACTCTGCTTCTCCATAGTAGTCGTAGAAACTCACGTCCCTGTCACCTGATCTGGCACTGTTAACCACATATGTCATTATATTCATTTCTTATGGCTACTGCAGCAAATCACAATCTTACCTTATTGGCATAAAACAACAAAAATAATTCTCTTCCATAGTCATGGAAGTCCAAAATCCAAAGTTCTAAATTCAGGTTGCCTTTTTCTCAAGGAAAGCCACCTGCTCTCCTTGATTCATGACCCCCATGCTCCATTTTCAAAGCCATCAGTGGCCAGGCGTGGTGGCACACGCTTGTAATCCCAGTGGCTTAGGAGGCTGAGGCAAGAAGATTGCGAGTTCAAAGCCACCCTTAGCAAAGGCGAGGTACTTAGCAACTCGGTGCGACCCTTTCTCTAAATAAAATACAGAATAGGGCTGGGGATATGGCTCCAGTGGTCAAGCGCCCTGAGTTCAATTCCTGGCACCCCCACCAGAAAAAAGTCTGGGCATATGGCTCTGTGGTAGAGAACCTCTGGGGTCAATCCCCACTACAAAAAAAAAAAAAAAAAAACTGTGAATTTAAATATACTTAAATGTTAAAAAAAATATGTCTGAGAGTCAGTGAAATGGTAAAAATGAATAGATGAAAATGGATATGCATTTTTTTTTTCATTTGACCGTTAATCTTTAATTTCAGAACTGTAGAAGATTTGAAAAATAATGAAAGCCAGTGGAAAGATTCTCCGCTGGCAACTAGACACCGAGAAATGCTGAAGCGCTGTAAAACTCAGCTTAAGGTTTGTATAGTTAATTGGAATAATTATAGACCAGCCTTATAATAGTCATTTTCCTACCAGAATATATGTTTTCAGTAAGTAGTTTAGTGTCCTTAGGTTTTTCTTAATTATTCTTTTTCCTCAAGATAAAATAGGACATTTTAAAACATGTTGATACCTTTCACATGTCTACATGTAATTACAGATCGTGCACATGCGCCTGCAGTTCAGCCCTCGCACTTTCCCTCCCTCGTGTCCCTGCCATGCTGCCTCCGCACAGGTCCTCCACAGCACAGGCAGGATCCGTGGGAATGGAAGATCTCTTTCCTTTGTACCTCACTCTTCATTTTTAATGGAAAACAGTCTGTTGTGTGGAACGTGAAGATAGATGGAAATATTCCTGCTCGTGAGACTGAGCTAAAAACGAGTGCTGGTCGGGCATTGTTGCACATGCCTATAACCCCAGCTTCAAGGGAGCCTGAGGCAGGAAGATCGCCAGTTCCAGGCCAGCCTCAGCAAATTAGTGAGACCCTGTCTCAAAAAGGGCTAGGGAGGTAGCCCAGTGGTGGGGCACTGGCCTAGCATGTGCACAGTCCTGGGTTCAATTCTCAGTACTGAAGAAGGAAAAAGAATACTGGCCAGCCTAGGATAGGGAAAACTAAATAGCAAATTTATTCATTTTTTTTTTGTATGCTCATATTTGGATTATAAATCTGAATGTTAGCTGGTCATGCTAACATGCTAAATAGGATGAAACGTGGAATCAACCTGTCTTTGGTTTCTGGTACATGTTAAGATTTCAGTGTTTCATTTGCTAATAGACTAGACCACTTCAAGAGGCAGCATAAACCAGGGCCTCTCTGGGGTCTGAAGCAGTCCACAGATGAGTTTCGATGAGGTGTCACTAAATTGTTTAAATCTGTGCGTCAGTGTGCGCATGCATGTGTGTTTTCACAAAAGTCCCTGGAGGAGGGATGGTATTCTTGGACAGGCATTTTGCCTGAGGGCAGCTCACAAGTGGTGGTGCTGGAGTTCTAATGTGGATTTGTGTGGCTTTTTCCACTAACTGTCCTGACACCTGCAGGGCCTCCCTGTCGAACCCTCCCCTAACCCCGTTATTCCAACTCTGTAATAACTAATCTTGAGCCCTAACTGTGAGCTGGACTTTGTGCTCAGTGGTTTGCATGGCCTACCTTGTGTTTTTCTCAGGAAAAAGAAAGATTTTGCTGCACAACCAGCAACCGGTAGCTAGATAGAGAGGCAGTTCTTCAAGCTCTAGAACCTAGATTTCCCACATCCTGGTCCCATTCCCTGCCCAGTCACACTGCAGGCCTCAGCTCCTGACTAATGTATGGCTGGGGGCACACCTACTTCCACAGAAACTGGTACGGTGCAAGGCCTGTGCTGACGCTGGCTTACTTGACGAGAGCTTCCTGAGAAGATGTCTGAATTTTTATGGCCTTCTTATTCAGCTGCTGCTCCGCATCCTGGACCCTGCATATCCCGAGTGAGTGTGCTCTTTCCTCTTTGCCTCGTCTCTACTTGTCTGGGCTGTGTCGTCTTCACTGTTCGCAGAGGTGGTTACTGAAGTCAAAACCTTACTCTACCAAGAATTCACTACCCAGTCTGCAGATTATCTTTACACAGACTGTGACATTGGTCAACATTAATAAGTGTTTTGCCTGTAATTAGTTACAGCCGAAGGTGAACATCAGCACCTTTTTTTTTCTTTAACTTTGACAATATTTTTTTAAGTTTGCTATAAAATTTTTAATTAATGGGAAAAGAAATCTGTAGGGCTGGGGCTATAGCTCGGTGGCAGAGCACTTGCCTAGCATGCGTGAGGTACTGGGTTCAGTCCTTAGCACCACATAAAAATAAAAAAAATAAAGACATTCTGTCCCCTACAACTACAAAAAAAAAGAAAGAAAGAAAAAAAAAAAAGAAATCTGTAAACTTGAAGCAAAATGCTGGCAATAGCAGGGTGTTAGCTCCTCCTAAGTGCTAGGTCCAGGAAAATGTCCACCTAGTCCAGAGAGCAAGCCAAGATGGCATCAGTCATCTTTGTTATCAACCAGAATCTCTCAATAGCTATTTTTATTTCATTTATTATTATTTTATGTTATTACAAAGTCTCTGTGTCACCATTGTGATAAAACTTGCCCAGCCTCTCTTCCGGAGAAAAATGTTATGTAAAATACATTCGTGGCTCTGTTGGCTCAAACAGTTTGAGTTACACAAATGTCACCAAATGTGTCCTTGTAATTTCCTTCCCGTTGTATTTACTGCATTAATTTTTTAAAATATTTTTTTATTTGTTGGCAGTTCTTTGTTTTATTTACTTATTTTTATGTGGTGCTGAGGATTGAACCCAGTGCCTTACACATGCTAGGCAAGCGCTATGCCACTGAACCACAACCCCAGCCCTACTGCATTAATTTTAACAAGATATCAAGATCAGGGGAAACATTTCATACCCCCTGGTGTATAACCAGTATCTTCATTATTCCCTGTTCATTTTGGTTGTGGTCTTCGCCTCTGTACTTTTACATAGTTGTATTATAGAATGAAGGGTTTTCCCAAAAAATAAAGTATATATTTAATGGTAATGTAATATTCCTTAATTAATGCTAATGTTGTGTTTCTCAGAATTTGGTATGCTGTGATTTCATTCTGCCAATTATGCTTTTCTTTTCTTTTTGACAGCATAACACTGCCTTTAAATTCAGATGTCCCCAAGGTATTTGCAGCATTGCCTGAGTTTTATGTAGAAGATATTGCTGAATTTTTATTTTTTATTGTACAGTAAGTGACTTTGACTTGTTATATATTTCTAATATGTTTTTATGCATACTTAATTTGTTTGTGATATTATGAATTATGTTGCAGGTGTCCAGTTTAAACTTGAAATTTTTTGGGACTGTTTTTAACAGAATACTGCCTAGGGACTGGAAAGATAAATCAACCACTGCATCAGCAGGTCCATACCAGTCAGTAATGAACATCTCAAGAGATTCTTAGCACCTCATATAAGTAAATAAATAAAGTAAAGGTTCATCAACAACTTTTAAAAAAAAAAAAAAAAAAGTAAAGTGGGCTGTGGCTTTGGCTCAGTGGTAGAGCACTTGCCTAGTACATGTGAGGCACTGAGTTCCATCCTTAGCACCACATAAAAATAAATAACATAAAGATTTTTTAAAAGACAAAATGGTAAGTGTAGTATACTCAGTATGGGGGCAGGGAATGATTAAAGTATACATAGATAAACAGTCACAAAACATAAATTATGAAAGTTTTCAGCCTGGTGTGATAGGACATTCCTAGAGGCTGAAGCAGGAGGATCTCAAGTTTGAGGCAATACTCAACAATTCAGTGAGACCTTGTCTCAAAAATAAAAAAGGATGGGGATGTGAAAGAGTACTCCTGGGTTCAACCCCAAGAAACAAAAAATAAATAGAAAAATCCAAAATTAGTATAAATGATTTTAAGAAAAAAAAATGTAACAGCCACTTTAAACTTAGCAAGCTAAAGGGAACTGAGTGTCTTTACTCCTGTTTATCCCTCACCCCTAGTGACACAAGTTGATTCCATAGACTCACTTCTTGCCCTTCCTCCCTCTATTCAGATACTCTCCTCAGGTGCTTTATGAGCCCTGCACTCAGGATATTGTGATGTTCCTTGTTGTGATGTTGTGCAACCAGAACTACATCCGAAATCCATACCTCGTGGCCAAACTGGTAGAAGTCATGTTTATGACCAATCCTGCTGTTCAACCACGAACCCAAAAGTTTTTTGAAATGATTGAGAACCATCCTCTCTCCACCAAGTTGCTGGTACCTTCCCTGATGAAATTCTACACAGGTAGGTTCCTGAGTGTGTGTTGTAGCACAGAAGAGCGGGCTTGGGTAAGGTCACCTATGCCAGTAAGTGAAGTTACTCTAAATTGGTCCCCTCAGACCCTGCCAACCTACTGCATGTGGAGCATTTGCTGTTGCTTCTTTTTCTTGCAGAGCATTTGAAATATTACACTGACCATTCTGCATCGTATTCTCTGATATGTAGCAGGCCTAGTTTGGTATCAGTTCTCCAAGTTGGTTATTTTTAATCTGAGTTAAAGTTCCTGGTTTATTTTAGCTGTGATCTTAACAGCATTGGTTTTATAGCACCTCCCTGTAATTCAGTTTCCAAAGTGTGGGAAAAATAGTGATCTTGTTAAAAATGCCCATCCTTAGAGATGGAGTATATCTCTTGCCCACCATGCACAAGGCCCTGGGTTCCAGCCCCAGCACCACACACACACCCACACACACACACACACACACACACACACACACACACACACACAAAGTATCCTTGACCCCACTCTAACCAGTGAAGTCAGGATTTCTGAGAGCCTCTGGGAACCTTCCCTCATTCATTAATTTGAGAAGTTTACCAGGTACCTACCATTTGCCAGGCCCAGTTCTTGGTGCTGGGTTATCCTGCAAACAGTAGAGAACTTGAGACACTCCACAAGGACACCCTCTTCTGGCTGAATTGTACTCTTAATTTTTGAATTTTTAATTTGACTTTTGATCTGTTATGTAGGAGACCTATTCATCTTTACTCTGGCAAGGGCACAAATTTGTACAAGTGGACCAGTTTCCTGCCAGTTTGTGAATTTCTCAGGAAGCAAGTATTCTTATTTGCTTTCTTATCTTCTGTTGCCCTCAGCGTATTCTTGGCAGGTCTTTGGCATTTCGAAGACCACACTCCCCATGCCATTACAAGAAACTCAGGCAGCCCAAGAGCACGCCCCCTTACTGATCCCAGCAGCAACTAGTTTAAGTTCCCTATTCTCCTGGACAGTCATCCTTGCCTTCAACCAAGACCTGTTCCTGCTCTCTTGGGGCCATGCCATCATCTGTCTCCACTTAAGAGAGCTCTAAGAATTTGTCCACGTGCCTTTCCCTTTGTCACTATTATTTTGTGGCATCTGGTAAGAGTCTCTTGCCTTCTTCCTTTTCTACTTATACCCTCTTAAATCTAAAGCCAAGCACACCACCCAGGGATGTCTGGTCAGTATCCTTTCTTTGTTAACAGCAGAGGACACCCCAGGGTTAAAGCCTTATTTAGCGAAAGTCCTTGTCTTCACCTCTTGGCCCTGGTGGGAACAAACACAGATCGTTGAGGTACAAAGAGTATATGCAGGATAGGACCTTGTGTGATGCTTGTACATGGCAGGCTTAGGAAATTGAATAAGTAAACATTTCTTAAAATAATAATGACATACCTCTTTTTACCTACCAACTTTATTTTTTAAGCTAGAAATTACAGAGAAATAATGTGCAAAAACCTATTTTATCTCCCTGTAACCACTGTGTAAAATCGGTGCTGTGAAACTTATGAAAATGTAAGTTGGTAAATCCTTTGAGCTGTGAAAGATGGTGCAGGCCTGTAATCCCAGTAACTGAACCTGAGGCAGGTGGATAGCAAGTTTGAGGCCACCATGGGTAACACTGGAACACCCAGTCTCAAAAATTTCAAAAACAATAAAAAATAAAGGTCTGGAGACTTAGCTAAGGGGTATAGTGTCCCTGGTATAGTCCCCAACCTACGAAAAAAAGACTTTCTGGAAGGCTGTTTGGTAGTCCACACCAAGAGCCTTATTATTTTTTTTTTAAATTTTTTAATTTTCAGTGGACACAACATCTTTTTTTTGATGTGGTGCTGAGGTCTGAACCCAGGCTGCACCCACGCCAGGCGAGCGCACTACTGCTTGAGCCAAATCCCCAGCCCCCCCCCCCCCCCCCCCCCCCGGCTTTTTTTCTTAATGTAAGTCAGGGACTAGCCAGGAAAATAGAATTATACCAACAACTTTAATAGAATTTAATGGAGGCAACTGATCTACATATTGGAGGACTGACTCAGCAAAACAGTACCACTGGGGTACAGGTTCAGGAAGCAGCCATCAAAGAACTTAGCTATGAGAACAAGGGTTTCAACAATGTGAGGATCTCTGAGGGTGTTCAAGGTTGCTAATAGCTGGAGAGCTGGGATGGAGAACTGACCTTGACAGGAACAGCAAAAACCTTGTCTCTACTTCAGTTTTCCAGTTCTCCAAAAGCACCCCCTACTGGCAACCCAAACAGGGTCCAGTAGCAAAGGTAAACTTCTGCGGAGTCCCAGCCCTTGAATCTCAAAGCAAATCTGAAAAGAGGATTTAGAGCTGAGGGACCACAGCAGGATGACCAGCATATCCTCCTACTTGTAAATTTAATTTCTAGTAGTTTATGCTAGAGGAATGCTTCTAAATGTATATTTGTATTAATCAATGAGAGTGTTCACCACAGTATTATTTATAATGCAGTGAAATGAAAAATAATGTGCTATTCACATCAAGGGGTAAACAAAAAGTAAAGAAAATGCCAAGTAATGACAAAGAACACCCACATTTTTGTACAAATATGTGTAATACAAAACAGCAGGAAGAACATATATCAAGGTATAATGGTGAATTGGTTTATTTATTTATTTATTTTTTGTGGTGCTGGGAATTGAACCCAGGGCATGCAAGGCAAGCACTGTACCAACTGAGCTATATTCCCAGCCCATGAATTGGTTATTTTTGAAAAAGAGAATTATGAATAGTTTTTTTTTTAATATTTTCAGTTGCAATGAACACAATGCCTTAGCTATAATTCCCAGCCCTGAATAATTTTCTATTTTTAAAAATTAAACCAAGGGCTGGGGATGTGGCTCAAGCGGTAGCGTGCTCACCTGACATGCCCAGGTTCGATCCTCAGCACCACATACAAATAAAGATGTGTCCGCTGAAAACTAAAAAAAAATAAAATTGGGCTGGGGATGTGGCTCAAGCGGTAGTGCGTTCGCCTGGCATGCGTGCGGCCCGGGTTGGATCCTCAGCACCACATACAAACAAAGATGTTATGCCTGCCAAAAACTAAAAAATAAATATTAAAAAATTCTCTCTCTCTCTCTCTCTCTCTCTTAAAAATAAATGAATAAATAAATATTTTAAAATTCTTTTAAAAATTAAACTAAAAAATAATTATGAGGGCCAGATTTATAGCACAGTGGTAGAGTGCTTGCCTAGCATATGTGAGGCACTGGGTTCAATCCTCAGCACTGCATAAAAATAAATAAGTACATAAATAAATAAAATAAAGGACCATCAACAACTAAAAAAAAAATTTTAAGGGTGTAGGGTTATGGCTCAGCGGTAGAGTGCTCACCTTGCACATGCAAGGCCCAGGGTTTGATTCTCAGCACCATATAAAAATAAATTAATTAATAAAGTTTAAATTTTTTTCAAATAATAATTACAAATAGTTTTATTGCCTTTTCTTTTTTTATTATCTGAACTTCTTAGTTCTACAGTAAACATATATTTTTAATAATAAATACAAAAAAAATAGTTAAAGGCATTTAGTGCTTGCTTATTTAGTATCCTGGGCCTGTCATCATGCACCAAGATAGAGTGTGTGTGTGTTGGCATTTGAGTACCAGGGCTGGGTCTCTGGCCTATGGGACTGGTGAGCCCTCAGCCAGTCTCCCAGGAGCCACTGGGTGGGTGTTGTTCTCTCTTTTCCCCTTTGTGGTGGGGCAGTGTGCCCTCTGGCCTGGACCACCTCTGTACTAAGGGATAGATGATACCTGACCTAATAATAGTGCACTCACCCAGTATGCACTAATCCTTTCACTTAATCCGCATAGCAGTCCTAAAGAGAGGCACTATAAATATCTCCATTTAACAAATGAGGAAACTGAAGCTTAGAAAGATCAAGAAGCTTGCTGAAGGTCATTAGCTAGCAAGTGGCAGCAACCTCAGCAGTTGGACTGAGCACAGGTGTGCTTGCCACTCTTCTGTTCTCCCAGCCACCAAGAGCCCTGTAGGTGGCCCTCACAGACCCTGTCCCAGGCCCCTTGGATTCCCTGTTAAGAGCTGCTGATGAGGTCTGGGCCCTGAAGGTGTGTGATTCTCAGGCGTCAATCATAGTTGCTCTGCCAGGTCCAGCCATGGAATAAGCTCCTTGGTGCCACACAGAGAGTCTTCTAGCTTGGAAAATGCTTATGCTCTGATTTTTGTTTCAAATATAAAATTAGTTTTAAAAGAAGAGTAGTTATTGTATCACAATAGTCTGAACTTAAGAAAGAACTCTGGGGACTGGGAAGAACATTGATAAAGTAAGACCTATTTCCAGACTCTTCCCTTCCTCAAAGCAGAGCTGAATGGTAAGTCCAGCATGGCCAGAGTGGACTCTGTCACTGGTTCAGCAGATGCTTAACACATCCCTGCCACCTCAGATCAGAGTCTTGTTGGGAAGCAGATGCTGGACAGATAAGGAAGAGACCTGGAGTCAGCATTGGAAGAGATGGGCTACTGTGGGAGCCTGGGAAGGTCTCTGAGAAGATGATTTTGGAGGGACATTAAAAATGAGACAAGGCTGGGGTTGTGGCTCAGCGGTAGAGCGCTTGCCTCACATGCAAGCACCACATAAAAGTAAATAAATAAAATAAAGATATGTGTCCATCTACAACTAAAAAAAATATTAAAAAGAGAGAGAGAGAAGCAGAAGCTGTAAGTTCTCAGCCACAGTGTGGCAGGCAAAGGGGACAGCAGATGTGAAGGACTTGAGGCCTTGGTGGCAATGTTATCAAGAAAGAACAAGAAAACCTACAAGAGGCTCAGGATGAAGATCTTGAAGTCAACAGGAGTCAAGGTCACTTAAAGACTCCTAGAACTTGGGAATTAGAGCTTTGGCTGGTATGATTGTAAGGGAAATATAGGAATAAATAAAAAAATACTGAAAGAAGTATGTTGCTGGGTGATAATTAAGGGATAGTTGCTTAGCCTCTGTTTCTTTGAAATAGATTCCAGACAGTAGAGGCAGTCTTAGATGGTAGAGGCCCTGTGCCAGCCCCCATGTGTCTCTTGCGGGCTCTGCTTAAATCACTTCTCCATACTTTTGGCCACACTTTTCCACAATAAAATGGCACTAGTGAAGACCAGTGTGTAGACATTTTCTTTTTAGCAATATTTTTAATGTTCCACTTTAATACTAAGAAATGTCTTTTGGGGGCCTGGGGTCATGGCTCGGGGGTAGAGAGCTTGCCTCAGGTGTGTGAGGCCCTGAGCTTGATTCTCAGCACCACATATAAATGAAGGAATTTAAAACATGATTGGGCTTAAATGTTATTGAACTCAAACCATAGTTTTGTTTGATTGTCTTCAGTTTTCACTTATTAATATATTATGATATATTAGTTTTTCATAGTCTCCCTTTGACATTTGGATTATTTATATTTGTTCTTTAATAAAAATGATTCTTTGGGCTGGAGTTGTGGCTCAGAGGTAAAGCACTCACCTAGCATGCATGAAGCACTGGATTTGATCCTCATTACCATATTAAATAAAATAAAATAAAGGTATTGTGTCCACCTACAACTAGAAAATAAATATTTTTTTAAAAAAATGGTATTTTGCCCTGGGGCTGGGGGGTAGCTTGGTGATAGAGCACTTGCCTAGCAAGCTCAAGGCCTATTCCATGGGGTGCGGGGGAGAACCTCCTTCATGTCCTTAGAAGTCAGTCTTTGAACTGCTTGTGTGCATTTCCTTTAAGTAGAATTTGTGGGTCAGCAGAATGTTGATGGTCTATGCTGTTTTGCCAGTTGCCTTTAGAGGGTTCGTGTCACCATTCACTCACCAGCATGTACACTGTCCTGTGTCCCTAGATCCTCTCCTCCGCTCCGTCTTGTCATTTTTGTAATGTCTGCCAATTTGATAGGTTAAAAATGGTAACTTAATTTAATTTACTTTTTTTTATAATGTCTTTGTTGAGTTAGGGGACCTGACACAGTCCCCTTTTTAAAATTTGTAATGAATTCTGGAATTTCTCAGGCTGAAGTGGTTTGCCCTTGACTTATATAATCAAGTTTGATTTTTGTTCCATTTTAATAGATCCAGGGATGTTGATAAATGGTAAATGAACAATGAGTACATGAAGGATTAACTGTGTTTTTCTCTACTTTATCTTGGAAATGCACATAGCCAGCATTGATGCATGCCTGTAATCCCAGCATCTTGGGAGGCTGAGACCCAAGCTTGAGTTCAGCCTCAACAATTTAGCCCTAAGCAATTTAGGCCCTGTCTCCAAATAAAAAATTCAAAGGGCAAGGAATGTGGCTCAGTGGTAAAGTGTCCCTGGGTTCAGTCCCCAGGCGCGCCCCCCCCCACACACACACACACCAAAGAAGTACATACCTGTAATCCCAGTGGCTCAGGAGGCTGGGACAGAAGGATCGCAAGTTCAGAGCCAGCCTCAGCAAAAGTGAGGCACTAAGCAAATCATTGAGACCCTGTCTCTAAATAAATACAAAATTGAGCAGGGGATGTGGCTCAGTGGTCAAGTGCCCCTGAGTTCAATCCCTAGTACCCACCCCCCCCCCCCGAAAAAAAAGAGTAAAAGAAAATGTGCCTGAAACAAAATATATATAAAATAATAGGCACCTTTAATAGGTGCGTGTCCTTCAATAAAATTTATCCCAATTTTCCACTTGGGATGTGCATTTGAAGTGCTATGGAATTTCTAATTTTAAATTTCTAATTTAAAATTGGGGGTATGATAATTCAGTTTTTGGTCATTGATGATTAGATAACCATCTGAATGATGCCTGTTTCCCTAGCCCATTTCTTAAATATCCTCTTATTGCCAGACCTTTATTGTGAAACTTTTGTCTTTAAGACCAGCTTATAGGGCTGGGGTTGTGGGCTTAGTGGTAGAGCACTCATCTGGCATGTGCGAGACCCTGGGTTCCATCCTCAGCATACATAAATAAAATAAAGGTATTGTTTTTAACTACTTCTAAAAAATAAATATTTTTTTAAAAAAGACCAGCTTATAATCTCTTTCTTGCTTACATGCAAAATATAGGCAAGATTTTACCACATCTCTGATTCTGCAGATCTATCCCTCCATGTTATTGTTGTGGCAGTAACTGCATTTGGAAAGATGAGAAAGGACGTGTTACTTAATCTTTTGTTTTTCTTCTGTAGATGTTGAGCATACTGGAGCCACCAGTGAGTTCTATGACAAGTTCACGATTCGCTATCACATTAGCACCATTTTTAAAAGCCTTTGGCAAAACATAGCTCACCATGGCACCTTTATGGAGGAATTCAAGTGAGTATTGGGCCCCTGATGTCACAGCTTGCTCTCTTGCAAATCACAGGGCTGCAGCTGAAAAGCTTTCACAGTTGGGTTGCTGTTGGCTGCTGGTTTCAGCCTCATTTTATCCCAGGTGCTATTCGATGTGGGTAGACTTATCTACCTGTCTGCACTTACAAGGTAATGCTGAGTTCTGGATTTGTCAACATCTTTTGGGAGCAGTTTACATAAAGAAACACATATAAATTTGTATGTGTTCAGTGTTTTTTGATATTTCTCTGATTACAGAGCATACTGAAGGTAGAATGAAGAAAGATCATACTGTATTCTTGAATATGATGTCAAGCTTTGGAGTCAGAAATGTTAGGAAGGCTTTAGATTTAGAAGCAGGATAGGGATGTCATTAGAGGTGTCATTCTCAGTAGTAAGGCCCTAAACCTTGGTTAAGGACTTTTCATCAAGTGTGGTGGTACACATGTAATCCCAGTGACTCAGGAGTCTAGCAGGAAGATTACAAGTTTGAGGCCAGCCTCAGCCAAGAACTTAGTAAGACCCTAAGCAACTTAGCCAGACCCTGTCTCAAAAAGGGGAGCTAGGGTTATGGCTCAGAGGTAGAACACTCATCTCTCATGTGTGAGGCCCTGGGTTCGATCTTCAGCACCACATAAAAATAAATAAGTAAAATAAAGATTGTGTCCATCTACAACTAAAAAATAAATTAATTAAAAGGACTGGGGATTTGGCTCAATGGTAAAATGTTCTTGGGTTCAGTTTCTCTGGTTCAAAATAAATGTTGGTGGGGGGGGTCCTGAATTTCTTAAATCCAGGCAGTAGAAATTCCATCTAAGTTATCTGTCAGTGCTTTAAAAAGATAAGTGAAGGGTGCTGCATCTGTGGCTCAGTGGTAAAGTGCTTACCTAGCACATGTGAGGCACTGGATTTGATCCTCCGCAAAACATAAAAACAAACAAACAAATAAATGAAGTATTGTGACCATCTATAACTAAAAAAAGAAAAAGAAGATAGGTGAAGATGTTGAATTGCTGAACTTCAAAAGAAAATGTATCCCACCTACTTGGGTCTTTTGTAACCCTTGTTTTAAATCTTTGATCAAGTCTTGATACCCCTTGTTACCTGAGTGAGCAGGCAGTAGTGCATGTATTACCAGCTGAGTAACCATTAGTTGGGTAACTTTCCAGAAGAGATTAAGTGAATTCATTATTTCCATGAACTGCTCTTGTAGTCAGTTATATTCCAACAAAAGCCTGGTGTGAGCTTAAAGAGGAGACGGCTCCTGGCTTAATCAGCATGATGCTCACTGGGAGTACATGCTCTGGACTCACCACAGTCCTGAGATGGGGCCTCCTATCCACTGATTTGCACAGTCGTAGGCCCTGAAGTGAAGCTTCTGTTTTCTTTGCTCATCTGGCAGTTGCCATCTTAACAGGCAGGCCAGCTATTTCATTGACCAACTAGTTCCTCTCTTTGTTGGAACATGGTCTGCAGAACAGTCCTTTGCCTGGAAGCTTCAGGTTCTGTAAAGCAAGTTTGTGTCTTGCCATAACAGTATCATAAGGTCCAACTTTTCTTCAGTATGTCTTTTTTGTGACGAGGAATGACTTTGTCAGTTCTCTTGTCTGCTCTGTACAGGTGATTATTTGTGCTTTCCTTATACTATGGTGAGTGTGAGCACATTTCCATTTCTAGTCTAAAAGAGTGTCTTCTCTACTTAAAGACACTGAGCACATGAGCCAGGGCAAGCTGGTAAACCTGCTCTCTAGAGGGAGATGGCAGCATTTGCTGGTGTGAATGTGTCCTCTGTTGTTGAGTTTAAGATTTCAAGGGAAGCAGCTCACAAAATTCATAAGTTGGCTCTCATGAGCCATTCACAGTGCTCCAGGATGCCACTAAAATGAGCTTATCAGGATTAATTAAAAAGTATAATGGAATCTAAAAAGAGAGGCTTGGTAGTACTTGGACTTCACTGTCCCTGAGCTGTGCCCATGCCGCAGACTCACAGGTGGCGAGCTCAGCACTCGGTGGAGGGAGCTACGCTTTCTCTGGAACCTGCTGGACTTAATGAGCATGCTCCATCTCATTCCTTTTCAGTTCTGGGAAGCAGTTTGTTCGCTATATAAACATGCTGATAAACGACACGACATTCTTGCTGGATGAAAGTCTGGAGTCCCTGAAGCGGATCCACGAGGTGCAAGAAGAGATGAAAAACAAAGAACAGTGGGCCCAGTTGCCGCGGGTGAGTACACAGTCCTGGGCCCTTAGAGGCTGCAGTCCGCCTTGGACACAGAGGTGCTCTGCTTAGGGTGGCCTCTCGGGCTGTCAGGTGACCCCAAGCCTCACTGCCAGGATTTTCCTTTCCGTGGGTTCCATGAAATTGTACCCTAGGAGAAAACTAAAAAATGAGTTGAGAAGCTTTTCACAGTGCATCTTCAAAACCTTCTCTGCCTTTTTAATTTTGAAGCACTTCTTAGAGACAAGCTTTTATTGTCAGTATATTAAGATTTATGGAAGTGACTAGGAAATGAATCTCTAGATTTCTGTCTCTGGACAAGAATTCGATTTGTTCATATAGTCTTCTCCAGACAACTAAATCACTCAGGTTTCTTGTGGAGGTTTTCTTTGAATCAATCTTAGTTTTTATATTTAGTTATTAATAGAAAGAAAGAATACTTGTTTGCCAAGTTTCACACTGTGCTGGTAACAGTACACTGTCCCCTCCTGATATGATTGCGGCCATTTCAGTGGTTCCTGGGTCAGTTACTGGGCCCTTGACAGCTGCTGGTGACTTCAGACATGGGTTAGTTCCAAATAACTGCTTTATAAGGGGTCCTCCTGCCGCACAGTGGGTACTGCTTCCTGTCTGCTTAAGACAACGGATACTATTGATTTTTCTGTTTAGTGGATGAAAGGGGACACAAATAGTCCCTAATAATCACTATTTCAGAAATAATTTTCTTTGACTTTGAAGTTAGGTGCTACCTCCCACCTCCCTGGCTGCTCCTGCTCATCTCTGCAACCTCTGAGTGAGGGTCCCTCCTGCTCTCAGCCTCAGGCTTCTCTGCCTCCACTCTTGCTGCTGGGTTAGCATTTCTCAGGGAGGGTTTTGGTTAGAATTTTAAGCATAGTGGAGTTTGGTATAAGAGTGAATTGTTTTTGTGGTGAGAGACTGTCCTTTACATATAGAACATTTACCATGTCCGGTTCCTGTCCATTTAGCATCGGTGATGTACACTCCTACCCCCAGTCGTCATAGCCAGTACCCCCACATGTAACTTGATGCCCCAGTTGAAAAACCACTGCCAGTTGATCTCATCTATTCCAGGGTGTTGAATAAAAACTCCCAAAAATATCTCCTCATCTCAGCTGTCTCCTGACTGGGCTGTGCAGCCAAGGTTGGCTTCCCTTATGAGCAGGTAGCCTAATACATACCTCAAACCCAACTTCTCCCTGACTGAACTTCAGTGTCCTGTAAATTTCAATTAAGTCTGCCCAACCTCCACAGCTGGGACTTTCCCTCTGCTAGTTGCTCAGGCTCGACACTTCAGCACTGTCTTCCATTCTTCCACCCCCCTCTCAGAAGATTCTTCTAGGTACTCTCTTAAACTATCTCATGGACTGGGGCTGTAGGTCAGTGGAAGAGCCTGTGCCCAGCATCTGAGAGGCAAGAGTTCCTTTCCTTACACCATTAAAAACACACACATGGGGGGTCGTGGCTCAGTGGTAGAGCACTTGCCTAGCATGTGTGAGGCATTGGGTTCAATTCTTAGCACCACATATAAATAAGCGAAAATAATAAAGGTCCATCAACATCTAAAAAAAATTTAAAAATAATTATTTGGCATAAACTGTAATAAACAGATACGCTACAAACACACACACACACACACACACGGGAGATGGAGACACTGGGTTTGTGGCTCAGTGTTAGAGACCTTGCCTAGTACGTGTGGGGCACTGAGTTCAATCCTGAGCACCCCATAAAATTAAATAAATAAGATAAAGGTATTGTGTCCATCTTCAACTAAAAAAAAAGATTTTTAACACACACACACACACACACCTGGGCACAGTGGTGCATGCCTGTAATACCAGTGGCTTGGGAGGCTAAGACGGGAGGATTGCGAGTTCAAAGCCAGCTTCAGCAACAGTGAGGCTCTAAGCAACTCAGTGAGGCCCTGTCTCTAAATACAATACAAAATAGGGCTAGAGATGTGGTTGAGGGCCCCTGAGTTCAATCCCTGTTGCAAAAAAAAAAGACACATACTCACATACATACATAATGTGTGTGTACCCCCATTCTGTGACCACTTCCCACCACCTCCAGACCACCCCCATGTCTTGCCTGTGTTATTGCAGGAGCCTGCTCTTGGTCTCCCAGCCTCCACCCTTGCCCATGTCTCTACCAGAGGGATGCTACTAAAATCTGTCAGCACAGTACCGCTGATTCAGCTGTGGGTGTGGCCTGCAGGGCATAGCACCTTTCTGCCCTCTTCTCCCCACACTGTCCCCTCCACCCCCTGCACCCCAGCCACACTGGCCTCTATCCTTGCACTGGCGGCTCCTCCACCGCAGTGATGTTTCACCAGACTTTTGCTGACTCACTTCCTTCGAGGAGTCCCATAGGTTAAATCACCCCCCAGAGAGATGATCGCCCTTTCCAGAATAGCATCCACAGAGCCCAGTGTCACTCTCCCTCACCCACTGCCACTTTTTGCTATCACTGTCAGAGTTGAGTTTCTGTGGGGTGTTGGTTTATTAAGCAAAGTCTCCCTAAGGGACTCAAAGC